CGAAAATCGATAAAATAATGGCATAACTGTGATATAACTGCAACATTCAGCAACCGTCTAATCCTCCACTACAGCTGTGATGTCCTTTACTCAAAATACACCAATTCGCAAAAAATCTCTACGATAAAGAATAGAGGCAGTTGTGCAACATGAGTTTCACAAGCAAAAGTGCCCACTACTGTGGTCCTTTGCGTACCAAAAGCATAAGCAATGCAAAGGAAGAGAAACTGGCCTGTCAACATTCTTCCAGTATATGAACTCGGAACATGAGCTTGAATTTGATAGCTGTTTTTTTGCTGATTTGGTGCTAATAGCAGCACTGTCTCATTGATTGAAAAAGCATCAATCAAAATCCACATCAATTTTTTTACTGTCGCAAGCACTCACAGGAATCTTTCCATACAAGGTCATCAGTTTGCAAAAAGATGCATTACCGAGTTTTGCGAAAAAAAAATACGGACGATGCGAGCCGATACTCAGCAGATGGCTTTGCAACAAACTCGAATAGTCTGATTATGGAGTTCATTCGAATACGTATTTGAATGAAACATTTGAATAAAATCTATTCAAAATCCCGTTTTTGATTATTTTAGTTTTCGAATTTTATTCGAATCCTCGTCTTTTGATTATCTCATTTTTCGAATTTTGTTCGAAACCCTGTTTTTTGTTACTCGAGTTTCGAATATTATTCGAAAATGGAAAAGCTTTGAATATCGAATTTCAAATGCGAATATATTCGAATGTTTTATTCAAATGATCGAATTTCTCGATTCGAACCCAGGTATAGTTCGCACGCGTCACACCCAAGTTGTCGCAGGCGCGACGTCGCATAACCAATGCTGGCTGGTATAGCCTATACATGTGGGCTAGCAAACCATGTAGATTGTCGAAGTGCAGCTTTGATTCTATGAAGGCTTCAATTGCCGAAGAACCGAGATGGTTCCATTGATGTAATAGCAAAAGCTAAGCTATGTTAAAGCAAGTGTCGACCTCCGCTTGGGTGGGACATATGACACAATAGTAGTCTATGTACCGACTACACAAAAGGGGTTTACGGCTAATGTAGGTGCAAGTCGCTGTCCCATAGCTAAGCCCCTGACCTGTTTGTAGTACTGACCCGACCATCGGAACACCGTACATCGTAAGAATTCGTGGAGAAGGGTCACGATGTTGCAACATACTACAGTACTACAAACAGATCAGGGGCTTAGCTATGGGACAGCGACTTGCACCTACTTTAGCCATCATTTTTATGTCTAAAATAGAAGCGCCGGTATTGGAGCGTAATCCCCTTTTGTATGGTCGGTACATAGACGACTGTTGCGTCATATGTCCCACCCAAGCGAAGGTAGATGCTTTAACATACTAAATCAACTGTCGCCAAACATCGTTTTCACCCGGGATAACCCTCCGAGGAATGGTTAGCGTTTCAAAACGTGCAGATTCAGCTTGCAGGCGGAGCATACAAAACAAAATGGTATCGCAAACCCAGCAACAAAAACATCCTTATACATTCTTTGTCTGCGCACCCAAATAGGATGAAGGGAGCTGTGGTGGGTAACATGTACAGAACGGCTGTTCGGGTGTCCTCTGGCGGCGAAGAACGCTCATGGTCTATCGCCATCGCTCGGGGGTTTGCGGCATCCAACGGCTATGCTGTTCGAGAGCACGTCTCGGGACGTTGGTGCTCTCGGGGTGGAGCTGGTGGTTCGAACAGTACCGCCGAAATCCCGTTCTGCCTGCCATTCATCTCTGATGAGCTGAGCAGCGCAGTGCGGCGATGCGTACATCAGGCGGGTTTGCAAGGCGTTGTCAGGGAAGTCAATATTCCCCCCGCAAATCTCAAGCAGCGTTTGGTTCGAAACCGTGCAATCGCTTCTGTCCGACTCCTGATTGCGTGGTTTGCCCGTTTGGTAAGGAGGGTAACTGCGTGCCATCCGGTGTTGTATATCTTATCACATGTTTAGCACCGGGGATACATACATCGGTGAAACGGGCCGCCTTCTCTGCTGCCGCGTTAAGGAGCATTTAGACGGTTTAAATAAGTTAAAAGCAGCCACTCCATTAGGAAAGCATCGTATAATGCGCCATGATAAAGCTGGAATACAAGTTGCAGTGCAAATCTTGTCGTTCGAGCCCGAGATCTTCGCGCGCAAAACGTTGGAAGCGATAACCGCCAAAAATCCAAAAATGAATAGAAAGGAGGAGTGTATTGCTAACACTAAAGAACTGGCGCCATATCAATCCCTATGCGGATTTGAATACGAGATCAGGTCAGAACGGCATATATAAGTAGAGCTGAGGCATAATCTTGCATACGCGGCGGTCTTCCGACTTCCGTTTTTGCTTCTGATTAAGGTTAGTGCTGCTCTTGTTTCTCTGACTAGGTTTTCAGTTGGCTTTTCTCGAATAGTACTTTGAGTCTTTTGTTGATGTCTGAGGGAATAGATGCTGATGACTTCGATTTCCAGGCTCTGACGAAGGCGACAGCGCCGAAATGTAGGTCATTGTACCATAGTAAACAGTGTTCCCATCTTGGTCTACCGCTCAATCACACATCCATCAATACATGATTTGTTCTTATCAAAAGCATGCTTAACATCGTCTGTTTAGATAATCAGAAAAATTTCAAAAGCTTTTTATTGACTTCGAAGAATAGACGGTTGGCCGCCAGGGATCATCAAGGGATCATACAGAAAGATGAAAAATGCGGCTTGTACAGCTTCTTGTTTCTGTTCGATATGTTCATAGTGAAGGATGGTGGGGATAAATATAACGTGAAATCCAGAAGTTTGGATCTTCAGGATGTGAAGCTTTCTTTTGAGCTACGACCCTATCCGGCGGTGATGTTTATATATGCAGCCCTTAAGTACTTCGCAATGATGCAATGATTATCTCAAACAGCTACTCTTTTCGTGATCATCAGGCTCAATTACCTTCCTGCTTATGTCCCGTTCCCGGCGTAAACATTGCTGCTAATTCGATAGATCGATATCTATCGATAGTGAAAGGTAGGCAAAATTATTCTGTATGGTCCATAAATGGGTTTACTCGATCTTAGTTTGCTCAGACAAACGTCGGATTTCTGCCTCGTATACAAAATAGAATTGTGAATGGATGAATGATCAAACACCTCCCGCCTCCGTGAATATCAGAAGGTAGTAGTCAATGCACAACAAAGTACGAGAATTCGGCGAAAATAAATAAATCATATCAACCGCTGCTGTATTATCTACATTATATCTGATTTTAAATAAACACTTCTGCTGCCCGCCACCAGCTTGCCTTTTCATTTATGCACAGATGTTCCTATTGTATGTAGCTTGTTCCGCGTCTTGCTTCCCGATAGAGCAGTGTTATGATTCTCGTAGTAACAAAGCGAAGATATAATCGTTTTCCATGACGATGGGTGCCCTTCCTTTAAGAATTTTTTACTTGTTCTTGTATAGTTTTTGGTATATCTTACTGGCCTTTCGAAAATTTGTATATCTTACTGGCCTTTCAAGAATTTCTACACCTTTTTGGGATCTGAGGTAGCCTCAGCTCGCAGGCTTGCTGGCCTCCAAACAAAGGATCTTGCTTTGATAATTAACAAGAGTTTCTCCAAACGTTAGATGAATATCCTTTCTCGTCAGAGTCATTTGAATGTCGACTCGACTTTGTATTAGTTAACATTAACACATTCACGACAAGGCCGATTTTTCGATTACTGGCCGTTTTGGAGACAATCAGCGTCTTCGATAACCCTTTTGGGGAAATAGTCTTTTCGGGAAACACTCAAAATGTGTCTCTGAGAATTTCAGGGTTATCGAAGACACTGATTATCAAAATATAGTTCAATTTAGTTGTTAGCCCTATACGGTAAGGTTACGGTAATCATTCTGTACGAATTTAACATCATGGAATTTCATGAAAAGTTGTGTTTTGGGGTTATTTCACGTGCTGATCATATCACAGTGCCCACTCCGTTCACAAGTGTCTCATGGTGGGGTTACGGTAGCACTACGATAAAATCCTCGCAAAAATCAAGAAACTAGTGTAGGAGAACTATATTAGAACTTGGGGCTATCATTTTCGTAATCTGCATGTCATGAGCTCTATACATGTAAGATTTGAGCAGGAATGAATATTGCAAAAAATCAATAAAATCAATAAAACCGATATTTCTTGATGGGTTAACATCAGTCTCTTGAATAGTTGCCTTCCCGTATTTCTCGTGCATGTACACTTGAATATTTAAAAGCAGCATCATTCTGCGAAGAATTTGAGCTAAAGTTTGTGCATTACCTCTATACGGTATACCTACTGTAACATTACATTACAGTATCCCAAGCCCGGACCGCTCCGGTTGCAGCTTCGTCTAGGTGTCCCCAACCCGTCAGAACCCCGTAAAAGTCCATCGTAAACTGGCAAAGCTAGAGCTTGAGGAGCCTTACGTCCCACTATCTGTCCGAAATGGCAGAACACGTACGATCTACCGTATTGTCCTGAATTTGTTAAAAAACGAGTAAGCTACACATCTGTGGATTGCATTGTTGGCTTAAAAATGAGCTGTTATAAGACTACCCTAACCCATATATTAGGTTGTCTTGTATTTTTTCTTCTGCTTCAAATTACGAGATTTTGGATCTTTTGCGATAAAGTAAAGAAGCTTATCTAAAATACTGTAAATCAAGTATTTTTCTTGTAATGATAGAGAGGTGTTGTATAGAAGAGAGAAACGGCGATCTTTATCACAATGTAGTGACACGGCCTTAAAAACGCGGGTATGCTTATTAGTTGCTTATAAAAGCAAATGTGATAGTCTCGGCTTCCAAGATTGTCAGAAAGCTTTTTTAGAGGTGACATTGGTTATTGTACCAAAGAAGAAAAATTCAGATAAGACGAACAGAGTGGTTTTGAGCGAGGGTCGCGCCCGACATAGAGGTCGTACCCGTCACTAACTCGGTGGGAACCATTACTATAACATGCGATTGTTCAAAAAATCTCATGCTTACACCAGTGAATTTATTATTTGGGCAGCGCTATTCTTCCAGCTGACTTTATTTCGGCCTTCACCAGTGTTCTAACAAACAACGATCACCATAAGTAACATATTGGGCTGGTATCCAAGACCCAGCCCTTCCACTTACTCACGACACCAACTTCCTCCATATCCGATGTGTAAAGAACGTCCGCTAAAAATATTGTTTTTGGTAAGCATCTGATAATTTGCAGAAAGAGAAAATAACGCCAACTCACAGAGTTTGTTCTTTACACGAATCTCCATTAGTGGCTTGGTAGCCCCGCACTTATATCCCTTAACACAGTAACCGACCTGTTCCAACTTATACCATCCCTGCCCCGACTTCATAATTACGTTGAGCTCTGAGACATAGGTGGTCATTCTCTGAGATTCTGAGAAGAATGCATTATGTCTCGTGCGCAATATACGTAAGAAATAGCACTTCACTTGTTTTCTTGTTGATCGCAGTATACAGCGGAACCAAAAAGGGGCAGTGGCGACGAAGCTCATGCTTTTGTTGGTTGTATAAATCAACAGTGATCATTCTGCCCGGAGGGCCTGAATGATACTATCATCTGTTGAGAAAACCAACTTTTGAGTGACGGACCTTCTCCGTAGAATGTGTCGGAGAGGAATCTCGAAATTGGTCCCGGCTGGGTGTGGTAGTGATGCGTTTGGTATTTCCTGCTGTAGAAACGTTGCAAATGCGACGTATAGGGTAAGAACCAGTCCTGAATTTGTGACCACAGGTTTGTGAATATTTTCGCTCAATTTGCCCCATAAAGAGCTGACAATATTTCGCACTGATTTTTGCAAGACACTCCTCTTTTTGTTTGCAATCAAATCACCAATCATATGTCATTCTCTAAATGAAGGGCGAAGAAATGTCCGCATTACTCACTTTTCCTTCATATTTGTCATGTTTGTGAGGTCTGAAATGTAAATGACTTTGAAATTGGAGAATGACTAGTAGCCTTTTATCAGCTCTACATTGAAACCTACTTGCAAATTTTACAACTTCTCTCGTTACAGCGTTTACCGCAGTTAGATCCGCAGCTAGGTTTAGGTGGACAAGGTGGAGGAGCGGGCCTTTCTAAAAGCTCATTGTTGACTCGGCAAGTTCAGAACTAATGGTTGCCACATCCGCAATCAGCACTTGGTGAAGCAATCCCAGAATAATACTTAATATAATTTCAAGAAATGAAACAAGCATTATGATAGAAACGTAGACAACTTTTTGAATACACTTTGGATTCGCTCAAAAACATTGTTAATTGGCGATTGAACCAGTAGTAGGTCATGACTTTGATACTGCTAAGCAGAAATGAAAAAATTGCCTTCGGAAAATTGATGAAGGAGAATCACTAAAAAAATTCGCACATAATCTTATGTAAAGAAACCTTGGTTGTCCATCTAGTCTTTTTACCAAAAAGCGATGTATAAAGGTTTCCAAAAACCTCGCAAAGGGAGACGGGTGGCTAATGCGCGATTTCTCCGGCTGCCACCAACTCAAAACCCCTGTTTTGTGCTATGCGAGTCTCCAAAAGGTACCAGATAAAGTGCATTAGCTTACTATCTGTTTGAGGTTACGACTTGCTGAGTTTAGTGGCTTTTGCTGGCAAACGGACCAAAATATTTACGAACTTGTTCTAAACTGCATTTTCGTAGGTGTTTTTGACCTTCAAAATTACTGTTTTGAATTGATTCAAAGGTATTAAGATTGAACAACCTATGCAGCTATCTCATACATCTCTTTCTAAATTTAAATAATTCTAGAAAGCCATAAAACACTTATTATGCCTATTTGGTGTGCATCTGGCAATAAAAATCGCGCCTCTTGACATACACCCGATCTGCCCCTGGGCTGACTTGGTATCGGCTGGCCTCCACAGGTCACTGTAATGTACCCGCACGCGTTCAGTAGCTTCTTCAACTAGAAGTAGAGTGCGTTTCGCATGCGCGCTTTATCCTTTTTACTTAAAAACCTCGCATGACTTTACAACTCGATTTTTAGCTTGGTAAGCAGTTACAGATGCTTAGCTTCCTTTATCTTTGCAGTCCGAAGAAGAGAATTGACACTTGACTCTCTCATGGTGCAAATACCAGGCTCATTAACTGCAGAGTCGAGTGCAAAAGCATTTTCGCTCCCGCGCGGCCACCTCGCTTAGACCCTGCACCTCTTCCAAAAACATGCTCTCTTATCACTTCCCCACCACGAGCGTGGGAAAGGCGGAGCTCCAATTGCTACCTAAGCTTACGAAAATGACTGAAGAGCATGATGGCGAAAGAGGCGCAGAGTCCAGAGGAGGCGGCCACATAGGAGCGGGCACGCTGGTGCACATAACTCTGCGATTGATAATCCTTGTAATTAAATGATCGCTTACTTGTGCTAGTCGATTTTGGACGATGATGGCAATCATTTGACGGTAAACAAGGACAGGGAAGCTTGTTGGCGCATCTCAAAAGCATTATTATCGAAGGAATCTAATGAGTTTAGACACAAACCCGGAATGATTACAGCAGGGCGGACATGCGACAGTTACGGCCAATGAACTCAAGGCGAAGAGCAGAAACTTCATTGACTCGTCCGGGAAATCTTTATATCTATACCTGTAGAATCTCAATTGTATGAATGCGTCGGACTATAAGTTAATGATGAATCTTTGTGTGGAGCGACTGGGCTGAGTAATCCGTTAAATAAGCCGCACTGTTACCGAGAATATTTTTTGCAGAGACACGAGTTTGATCGATTTATTCTTTAATTACTTACAATTAGATCTAGAGAAGTAAGAGCTTATCATTCGTTATCGAACTCCGCAGACATGTTTAGCGTGCTAAATTACATTGGACTTACATATTTTTCGCAGTGAGGAAGATGCTGTTTTGCCATATAGGTCGTCAAGGATAGGGTTCCTCCATACTATGCCGCAGGACGCAGAAGTCATCTTTCTCTTCAGCCTTATCTCACCAAAGGTTCAAGGTTTTTTATTCACTTCGAAATTGGGTGTGCTCTTGATTACAGTTGCAGCGGTAGAATTTGTCCAAAATTGTGGGATTGTCGGGATTCGCGGGATTCGCGACTTCACGGGATTTGTGGGATTCGCGGGATTTGCGGATTAAGCGGGATCTAGCTGTACTTCTTCTAGAACAACTTTATATGAGATCTGCAAGAAGATTCGGCTTCAGAGATCTACCAATTGCACTGAGCATTAGAAGTAGAAAAGCCTGTAGATCACTCATAATGAGAGAAAGAGCGATAGAAATTTACTCAGCGTTTGCTACAGTACTTTTCTCACCATATGCCAAAAATGATCCAAAAATGTGATATTATCAGTGATAAATGATCAAATGCTTATAACAGTGATAAGGGTAAATAAAAACTGCCCAATTTTCCGCGATAGTTTTCGATAATGAGAACTTCGTACCAGAACCTCCTATACGCGATTTACCTGTGATAGATGTTCACAAAAGCCTTAACATAGAAAACAACAGTATTATTGTATGTCTACCCGTCACCATGAATTACGGACACACTGTATATCAAACGATTCGTCTCATCAAGCTGAAGCCAAATCTACACGCAGATTACAAATAAAGCTGTTTCAAAAGAAGTTATAGCTAAATCCCGCTTATCCCGCAACTCCCGCGAATCCCGCGGTTTTGGACAAATTCTACCGCTGCAACTGTACATCAAACTTGTTTCGCTTCAGTCATTCTCAGTCAACGACTTCAACGCGCTATTCTAATTATTGGAGCATGTTTACGGCATTTTGCGAAGGCCACCGGCGCTGCGCGTAGTATGAAGGAACTCATAAAACACAAGCCCATCACAGGAGCATAGCAGAAATGAGTAAAGAACGAGGAAAAAACAGAGGAAGCGTGTCTTTTGGATTCTTCGCATTATATACAGGGTCAAAATTCCGGAAGCCAAGCACTTCGCTACTGCACTTCGATATCTAGAAGTATAGGCCCCCGGAAAATCCAATTGCCCACGCGTCGCTTTGAACACCAACTCGCGGCGCGGCTGGAAACGTTTGGTCCCGAAGCGCTACAGGCTTTTTGTGAGCGGGCATGAGCGCGCACCCTTTTCCCACATTTTTTTCCAATTTTTGAAGGGAGCTTTCGCCAAGATATACCTTGCATTGACGAGAACAACAGAAAGTTAAAGAAAGATTTCTTAGAATATAGTGAGCGCCGACATTCGTTCGCGGCGACCGCTCGCACGCTGGTGTTTAAGGCACGGCGCGGGCAGTTAGGTTTTACGGCGCCTATACTTGAGAAAAAAAAATTGGAGCATGCATGACTCCAACAGTCATGCAAAAACTTGACGAGTGCAGTTGTCATGGCCGTAGCTTACAAAGTCGTTCTGAAGGCTGATGGTCACTTTTATACTGCACGCTGATAATATTCGCAGGTTTTTGTGTTCTGTTTACGCTTTTAGCGTATACAGCAGTTGTAGTGTGACAGCGCAACTTCTCTACATTGTAGTTTTCAATTTGTTGTAGAATATTCTCCACATCTCTAGTGACGGAATAAATTGTAAACACTGAAAGATTCCATCTTCTTGTTTTGCAGGAGTATCAGCGTGATAACTTCAGTCCTTACAGCGACATAGGACATTTGAGCTCGAAAAAGTTCATTTTGTAGAAAACGACTGCAGCTCGTCGAGGGACCCAAGCGAAGCGGCCGGCGAAAATTCAAGCTTCTGACCGTAACACTCAGGTTGAAATCCCCTGTATGTACTATGTAGGACTCAGTGTGTGCAATTATATTAGGTTGGTCCGAAAGTTCTGTCCCACCATTTTCAAAAAACCATAACTTCCTCCTATCATGATGTTTCTGCATGGCTAAAACCGTTTTGGAAAGAGCAATTCATGCACTTTTTAAAACTACCCTGGCTGCTATCTACGAAGCTCTGAATGCAGAGATAAATTGAAAAAAGGAAATCACTTCAAGTTTGGAATTTTTAAGCAGGCCCGTTAAAAAATCCAAAACCGTGCCATAAAATCCAAAACAACCATTATCCTAGGTTTTCTGATGTTCTCTTTTTATATGAGCAAAACTCGCGCTGATCGAAATGTTTTTTAAAAATGATGATTTTTTGAAAAAAAATGTCAAAAAATCAATTTTCTTAAGGAACTGATTTTTTGGCATTTTTTCTCGAAGGACTCGATTAGCGCGAGTTTTGCTCATATAAAAAGAGAACATCAGAAAACCTAGGATAATGGTTGTTTTGGATTTTATGGCACGATTTGGATTTTTTAACGGGCCTGCTCAAAAATTCCGAACTTGAAGTGATTTCCTTTTTTCAATTTTATCTCTGCATTCAGAGCTTAGTAGATAGCAGCCAAGGTAGTTTTAAAAGGTGCATGAATTGCTCATTCCAAAGAGGTTTTAGCCATGCACAAACATCATGATAGGAGGAAGTTATGGTTTTTTGAAAATGGTGGGACAGAACTTTCGGACCAACCTAATATTAAGATTTAGGTTAGGTATACAAATTTTCTAAATGAACCATATTTCTAGATTTTCTGCGAATATCGTCGGCATACTTCGACACTTCACTGGAGCCTGCATTAATTTATAACTTTGTTTATGCAATCCTTCGAAAACAAAAGCTTATCAATCAAACTTGACTGTTTCCCCCACGATCACGTGGAGAGGCGGTAAAGCTTAATTACAGTTCGTTCCCCTAAAGTCTCACCAATAAGTCCTCCCATCAAATAAGTCTGTTTTCTTCCCATTATAACTATCTGAAATCTTTTCAGATAAGTCCGAATACTGTCAGATAAGTGGACTCATCTGTAGACGGACTTACCTGATAAAACGACTTATCTGCAAGATTCTTGGCGGTGCGAGGGTGCATTTTCATCGATTTTCTTGTCAAAAAAGCGGACTTACAATACCGCTCATAATTCGTCAAAAAAGTCGCCGGACTGCGGCGCACTCCGCCACACTCCGCCACAGTGCGGCGGAGTGTGGCAGAGTGCGGCGGAGTGTGGCAGAGTGCGCCACACTCCGCCGCACTCCGCCGGAATGATCGTCAATTTAGCCATATCTCGCTTCAGAATGAACGAATTCTGAATCCGAGGACACCGTTCGATTCAGCTCGACGAGACGCATCATCTTATATATGAAGCTGAACGTCTGTTTGTCTGTTTGTTTGTACGTATGTTAAGAATAGAAAAATCCATTTCTGAACCGATCCGGACCAAACTTGGCACACATACACTTCGGGCATCGGCGGGTGTCATAGGCTACTTTTCGTCATCGATCGATATCGATTTTATCGATTTTTATCGATTTTTTTGCAGAGTTCACATACGGGGCTGGGAGTTTGCATAGTGGGGTAATCGAGCATGGGGATTCCGAATACAATATTAGTTTTCAGAATTATCGATTACTTTAATCGATTTTATCGATTTTTTTGCAAAGTTTGAGCTACGGGGCTGGGAGTTTGCACAATCACAATGGTAATCGAGCATGGGGATTCCGAATACAATATTGGTTTTCAGGATTATCGATTATTATTTTGGTTGAATTCAGTGTGCTGATAACAGTATTACCATTGATCTGTCGCTGATGACACATAGACAGTATACTATAGGAGTATGGTAGAGAGCCAATAAATATGAATATATTCCGAATCCAGAAGCAGCATTGTGTTCAGATCGTCGAGGCAAATATTTTGATATACAGTATGCTCTCGATATTCCATATTCCACTCTGATCGAATTTGTTCTAAGATCTGCTCAAGATCACAATAACGCGCACAGAATGTCAAAATTTCCGTGAACTTTGCGGAATTCTGGAATTTCCACCAAAGTGCGCGCTAATCCGGGAAGTTCGCGACATTTCAGGATCCGCGAAACCATGAGAATCACACAGAATACGCAACGCCATAACATCCTTTGGAATGAACATATTCCGAATCCAGAAGCAGCATTGTGTTCAGATCGTCGAGGCAAATATTTTGATGTACAGTATGCTCTCGATATTCCATTTCCATTTTTTCGAATTTTTTCTGTGGAGGTCTTTTCGCAAGCACTCATGGTGGAATTTCGACAAAATCTGCGATCTTTACATTTTGAGCAAAATTCATGAGAACGTGTTTTCGTAGGCTCGTAACTCGGCGAATTTTATAGACTGGAGCCTAAGTCTTGCGCCATTCGATAGCACTCTCCTAGTAACTTTGACTAGTAAAGCAAGCAGGCAGGTTCTTTGACAGACACGTTAGAGGTGGAGGCGAAGTTACGAGCTTTCGTGATGCAGTTACAGTCACCTCACCGTATCTCTCCAAGAAGACCCTGTAATCCTCAAAGACCACGATTTTCGTAAAGAGCGTGTTCGAAAACCTCTATAAGCGAAGTTTCCTTACAATTTAAAAGCATGAACATTTTGACCAAAATCCATCGGGCAGCTTCAGAGCGTAAAACGAGAAAAAATGAAATTACTCGAACATCTTGGAAAAATTGCTTGTAAGGGTTATCCGACCTGCTGATTACGAAAATCACATCTGCTTAGCAAGAGAGCTTCATATTTTAGAGTTACGTTGAGAAAAAATTAGAACGACAGGATTTTTCCAGAATTCACCAGCCCTTCTAACTCCTATGGAAAGATGCCTGTGATTACTTTTTAGCGCTTCGTAATCTACAGAAAAAGTACTATCGAAAGGTCCTTGCTGAAGTCTACTAGGAGCAATGCGCGCTGCTTTACACCTTCACAAAAAGACGTCTACAGAAAGATTTGAGAATATTGAAATTGGAATATCAAGGATATGCTGTATATCGAAAGATTTGCCTCGATGAACTGAGCACAAAGCTTTCTTCGGATTCAGAATATGTTCATTCCGAAGGAAGTTACGGCGAGCAGAATTTAAAAACGCGTAATTTTTCCAAAATTCACCAACGCTTCTGTCTCTTTTGGGAGACAATCTGCAGCTACTCTTGAACGCACGATAACCTACAAGGACAGTACTATCGAACAGTGCTTACTGGAATCTTTTATGTTACACAGAGGCTGCGTTACATCCTTGCGAAAAGACCTCCACAGAAAAAATTCGAAAAGATGGAAATGGAATATCGAGAGCATACTGTATATCAAAATATTTGCCTCGACGATCTGAACACAATGCTGCTTCTGGATTCGGAATATGTTCATTCCAAAGGATGTTATGGCGTTGCGTATTCTGTGTGATTCTCATGGTTTCGCGGATCCTGAAATGTCGCGAACTTCCCGGATTAGCGCGCACTTTGGTGGAAATTCCAGAATTCCGCAAAGTTCACGGAAATTTTGACATTCTGTGCGCGTTATTGTGATCTTGAGCAGATCTTAGAACAAATTCGATCAGAGTGGAATATGGAATATCGAGAGCATACTGTATATCAAAATATTTGCCTCGACGATCTGAACACAATGCTGCTTCTGGATTCGGAATATATTCATATTTATTGGCTCTCTACCATACTCCTATAGTATACTGTCTATGTGTCATCAGCGACAGATCAATGGTAATACTGTTATCAGCACACTTAATTCAACCAAAATAATAATCGATAATCCTGAAAACCAATATTGTATTCGGAATCCCCATGCTCGATTACCATTGTGATTGTGCAAACTCCCAGCCCCGTAGCTCAAACTTTGCAAAAAAATCGATAAAATCGATAAAAGTAATCGATAATTCTGAAAACTAATATTGTATTCGGAATCCCCATGCTCGATTACCCCACTATGCAAACTCCCAGCCCCGTATGTGAACTCTGCAAAAAAATCGATAAAAATCGATAAAATCGATATCGATCGATGACGAAAAGTAGCCTATGACACCCGCCGATGCCCGAAGTGTATGTGTGCCAAGTTTGGTCCGGATCGGTTCAGAAATGGATTTTTCTATTCTTAACATACGTACAAACAAACAGACAAACAGACCTTCAGCTTCATATATAAGATGATGCGTCTCGTCGAGCTGAATCGAACGGTGTCCTCGGATTCAGAATTCGTTCATTCTGAAGCGAGATATGGCTAAATTGACGATCATTCCGGCGGAGTGCGGCGGAGTGTGGCGCACTCTGCCACACTCCGCCGCACTCTGCCACACTCCGCCGCACTGTGGTGGAGTGTGGCGGAGTGCGCCGCAGTCCGGCGACTTTTTTGACGAATTATGAGCGGTATTGTATTTGTAAGATTTTAGGGTAAATTCACATTCCACGGTGAGGAGAATGTGCTGGCTCGAAAAGAGACTGAAAAAAACCACACAAGCACTTTGGCAAGGATTTGGGGAAGTGATAGGAAGAAAAAATGGGAGACGTTGTGGAAAACAAAAGAATTCAGACAGAGGGACCCGTCATACTTCGCCGAAAAAAGCCCAAAAGCGACGAAAATAAGCCCGAAAAAGCCCAAAGAAGCCCAAAAAAAGCTCGGAAAAGCCCAAAGGAGCCCGAAAAAGCCCGAAAGAGCCGGAAAGCAGAAACGAACCTTTGGTGGAATTCTGCCATTATTTCGATGTGCAGACGACCTAAAATGAAGCAAACAGACTCGTTCGTGAAATCAACACTTATGCCTTAATGTCAAAACGGAAGGAGCGTTCCGGCTCTTTCTGGCGCTTTTGGGCTTTTTCAAGCTTTTTTCGGGCTTTTTTTGGGCTTTTTTCGGCGAAGTATGACGGTTCCCGAGAAGGCTGCTTATTTTGCCTCGGACAATTTCTGTACCCTCGTCTACTGTTTCGGAAACAGAACCGACGACGTGTCTAACACTCTAAAGATGTATTTAGGATTGGGAAGCCACGGCGAGACACAGGCTACTTTTTGCGGCAATCTGCCTGGTCCTTCTGAAAGTTCATTGATTTGCTGACTTGTATCTAAGAGAAGGAGTTTTTTTTCAATATTGTATAAATTAGGCAAACAGAAAGCAATTGCATTTTACTGCACCACTTCTCTATAACAGTGCTGCGCGATGCAGGAACGAAACACGTTAGATGTGGAGGGCGAGGTGAACCATAGAAGGGCGAAAGTGAAAGAAGAGTAAGTTGTACTGCATGAACAACCATACCGTTCGACTCTCCGTCCTCCTCTCCGGCTTCCATGCTGAGTAAACCGATGCGAGTCAATTATTTATTAGAGGATGGTTTGAGGATGGTCGTTTGAGTTGCTGCACTTGGTTAACTTTTTTGTCATCTTAAAGGCAGTGTCACGGCAGATTTCGCATTTCCATCTTTTTGCATGTTTTGGGCGTTTTCGACCCGTAGTCCCGAATTTGAGCTTTAAAACGAGCAAAAGACCTTTTTCAGGGCGTTTACCCCAATTTTTAAAAAGCAGCTCGGGCATGACTTTCAAATGAAAGTTGGGAGGTCCAGGCGCGAAGATCCTGTAATGCCTACCCCTGTAATGACCCTGTAGACCCTGACCCTGCCCGCCTGTAGTTTTTGCTTTGGATAGCATACAAAATGCGAGAGAGCGGTCGTGGGTCCTGCGCCGAAAGGTAAGCGAAGTCGTCCGAGCGCGCGCCGGTTCGAGGGCTATTTTCTCGGCCCAGGGGGAACATCAACCAGCCGGAGTGCGCTTGGAGGTCGGTGGGATGACCAAGAACCCCACCATAGCAATATCCTCCAGGGTGCGATTCTGCCGGGACACTGCCTTTAAGGCTTTCAGTAGTATGCTAAATCCTATAACGTTATGTGTCTCACTGCATGTTAATCGTCCCATTCTATGTACTTAAATTAAGCTCCAGTCAACAAAATCAAGTTCATCTTTCTCACCCCATCTTTAAGTCAATGTAAGTTTGCATCAACTTATAGGCAGTGTCTCGGCAGAATTTCGTTCTTAGATTTTCACCTTTCCGGGGCTTTCTCGCCATGAGAAACCCATATCTGGGATTTTCAGCGCATGAAATGGCGAAAATAACTTTTTCAGAAGCTTTCTAGGTCCGCATTCAGTAGAGAATGGGCGGGGCGTGGAACGGATAAGGCGGAGCACGGCTTTTTCAGGCCACTGAACTCGGATCTAGAAAGCTTTGAAAAAGCGCATTTTCACCATTTTTATGCGCTGAAATGTCTAAATATGGGTTTCTCTGACGAGAAGGCCCCGAAAGGTGAAAATCTGGAAAACGAAATTCTGACGAGCCGGCCTTTATGGATAGTATGGTGTCATGCAGTGGCGTACCGCGCGCGCCCCCCCCCCCCCCGAGAACGGGTCGCGAAATTTTTAAAAGTTACTTATATGGGTTATAAAATTGTGCAAATGACTTGTCTGTACTTGTAAATAATTAAAATAATTTTTAAAATTTTTTAAAAATTCATTTTAGCTTTATAAAAAAAATTTTTTCGGGGGCGTGGCTGACGCCACGCCCCCTTTTTCCAGATTTTAGAGGTTGGGGACCCGCAAAAATTTTGAGAAGCACCCCAAAAATTTTTTCGGAGTGCGTGGCTAACGCCACGCACCTTCATTAGAAAAAATTTTTTGTCGCGCCCCCCCCCCCCGAGCCGAAATCCTGGGTACGCCACTGGTGTCATGAGGTAATTTTCAGCGTGGTGTAAAGTGTCGCACATTAATCTTGATGTGGAAGGGATTATAGAATCGTAATTTGCATTTCATTGTCAGAAGCTGTGACACGTGTAAAATCTGGACAAATATCAATGCAGATGTGAACGACATGTAAAAGCTTGAGCAAAAGGACCTTCCTACCAAATTTAAGTAAAGATGAATGGAAGTCACAATATCTTACAAACATTGTATTAATGATCAAATCTGTCGCATTGAATAGTAAATACAGGGCTTATCAACTGCAGTGTCGGACGCACCAGCATTTCCGCATCCGCGCGGCCGCTTCGCCTGGACTCCGCACCTCTTTCCCGAACATGCTCTCTAATCACGTTCCCATCGCGAGCGTGAAAGGCGGAGCTTCAACTGAGTAGTTATAATTAGTGAATATGTTCACGGAAGAGGGCAAAGTCCCGCGCGTGAGTGGAAGTGATGCTGCACCCGACACTGCATTTGATAAGCCCTGTGCGTGAAATCATATGCGTGGCTTTTAGAAAGCTTGGCTACTTTGCGGGAACAGATGGGTAGTAGGGACTCACATCAGCCTGTGAAAACTTTTCCAAACACAACACACCAGACAAGAGCCACCAGGCATACGGAGAACACGATCCATTCATAACATTGCTTTTATACTGAAACATTGCCGTGCATTGAAAATCATGCGAATGTCTCATAAGCCGTAACATATCCTGGCAGACGTGTCAAATGCAACATCTTCGCCAGGAATCCAGAATCGAAAGAATAGGGTATCAGAGGAGAGACGGTTAGGGGGCGCGATTTTTATGTAGGGGCAACAACTCAAAAGCCCTTTCAGCGTTATACGAGTCTTCAAGAAATACTGAACAAGTGTTCTGGCTTACTAGCTGTTTGTAGTGCACTTGCTAAATTCAACGAATTTTGATGAAGAACTGAGTAAACTGTATACGAATTAGATATTATTTTCATTCTCAGGGATTTTTGACCTTTAACATTTAGGCTTCAAGCTGTTTCAAGATAATATAAGGTTGAACAGCCTTAGCAACAGTCTTGCGTAAATTTCCAAAATACAAACAGCTTCTGGAACGTTGTGACCATCTGGCAATAGAAAAATCAAACAGTGCTTTTGTCTTCTAAAAAGATACAAAATTCTTATTATCTATAACGTTTCCACCAAGCAAGAGGTCGATGCTCCACAATGAATACTGAGCTGAGCTGAGCACAAAACTTCTACAGTTTGTATGACGTGGTACAACGAAAGGCAAATCCCTCATATGAACTGCTTCCGTAAAATAAAAATGGCAACAGCCGCGCACTCTGAAGTTTTTCTGCTTGTGACGAGTAAACCAATATTTATTCATGAAATAGTTTGTACTCCAAGACAAGTTGTGCTTGATTCTTTAAGATCAAACCATTTTGAGTGTATTCAATCTGTTCAGCAATTTCTTGTTAAGGCTTTTGCTTCTGCTAAGATCCATAATTTCACGGCCTTGGAAAAACGTTCTACCATGCGAGCCTCTATAAGTTTCGTGTCGAATATCCCCATCCATATCCGCATCCCATCTAAAAAACTACCTTCGACTATACATGCTTCTCTTGTGAGCAGCTAGGAAGTAAAGAGCTCCGCATCTCTTGGTTTGAAGTCTGTATTGACGCAGAATTCAAGCATGTCTTTTAACATCGGTCACTACAAAAATGGCATGAAATATTCGAAAATCAGTTGTATTGCGACACCTTATTTACATAAACAGCATAAAGTATCGAGCTTGCAAGAGCATTCTGCGCAAAGCATGCAAGAGCTTTTGCCTTTGATCTTTAAAATTTTCAAACTTCAAGAGAAACAAATGACAAGCTTGCTCGTACTGAAAAATCAAAACGGCAGGTCTGATCACCTTATCTGCTGGGCTCATCGTACGATTTATTGTTTGATCTTCCAGGGTGTGCAGAATGGGGTAAACTTATTGCATGCACAGTTTTGCATAGCTTATGTAGTTTGATATCCTTAGCTCATCACGGTCCATTCTGACATTGTAGGTGTGGGTGAGTACTTGTATGTTTTTTAGTGGTAGAAGCATGCTTAGACCACCTCACGCTGTACCGACAACCAACGTTTCTGTCATTCCTTTTCTTTCGGTGTTTGATGATAGTGATGTTCGATGCTTCTAAGTGATGTTGGGGATGTGGTGCTTCTACCTGTTCATAGTGCAATAAAACTTGATAACGTTGTCGTTTGAATATATCAGCGAAAAATCAATTATGTTTATGTTATGCTTTTGAAGTACACTAAATCGTTATTCATTTTTTATTGTTGTCATTGATTCTAGACAAGCAAGCGATTTTCGGTGGTTGCGTCTGATGTCAACGGGTGAGTCTGATAAGGGAGAAAAGATTAATCGAAGTGGCCTTTCTGTATGAGATGTATACTTGTTTGAAGAGCACGAAACGTTGATTTCAAAGATACCTTTTCTATCTGCTGCGGGATTTTGAACATGGAGTTTTGAAGGTTTTTAAAAGCAAAAAGTCCGATGCATGATGAGTGTAAAATCAGTCGTTGCTTTTCTTACAAGGAAACGATACTCAATGTCCGTGGCCTTTCGAAACGTGATTCATACCATTACACTCGTCTTCGAACGCTGATTCCGAATCTGCCTTCCGTTTCTGCTAATCGTTTCTCTGAAAGAAGTTATGGGGGAAATTCGAGCTAAGTTTGGCTGCTCAAAGGAAATATGGTCATTGGAACGGCTTGTACCGCGGCCACTTTCTGGTCTAGTGGTTAGTGCAATAGCCTTATAAGTTGATGCAGGTGTAGGTTCAAAGCCTTCTGTATTTTTACTTTTGCGTTACCTCAATTAAGCTTGTTCGAGAAGATCTACCTGAGCTATGTTCATTGGATACAGAATTTAAATAGTAATCATTTTTTCCAAATTTCCACATTTTTTGAAGAGTAAGGGCGTTCACTTAGCTCGATGATGCAAAAGAAGGTTAGTAGGCAATCAGGCTCAAATCACAGGGGTGATTTGAGCCTGATTCGTCTTCTTAGCTCTGAGTAATATTTGGTGAAAGCACAGCGATCAAGAGCGAAAAATGGGAAAAACGAGATTTTGGTTGGCTTCTAATTCCATAGTTTGGAGGTCTTCTGAAGCGGGATTCCTGAGGTGGACAAAGAAGGAGTAGTGCTTTGTCTTGAGTGCGAAAACGGATAGCTAATTCACCTTTGAAACAAAGTTAACCATGTTGGAATTTGACCATTTCACTTAGGTAGCCTAGCATCTTGAATCTTCAGAATTCGCTCAAACTTTGTCTACAGGGGTTAATTGACATGCTCATTATGGATACGTTGCCCATTATGTTTGACAGGGCCTCCAAGTAATGCTATCTTAAGGGTATAGTCCAGGGGAGAGGGGTCTTATTAAGACAGCAATCAGGGGGGGGGTCGTAACCAGCGATCGTGTGCCACACCCCTTGCTTGACCCTGATTCGAACCTGCAACTGCGTCAACTCATGGGGCTATCGCACCAACCACTAGACCACAGTGCACCGTCAACGTTGGCGCTCCGACCATATTTCACAGGGCAGCCACAATCCGCGCGATCCACTATAACATTTTTGAAGCGATTAGCAGAAACGAAAGTCAGATTCGGAATCAGTGTTCCAAGACGACTGAAATGGTATACATATCATCTCAAAAGGCCACGGACACCGAGTATCGTTTCCTTGTTAGCATTCCGAAGTGGCAGAGTTAACTGGATATGTTCAAATTAAGATTTTTTTTTGCGCAGAGTAACCCGAAAACTATTCGAGCCGTAAAAAAATGTCACGATTGGTTTTATCCTAGCTGCACATGCAAATTTTTGTTCATAAAAAGCTTCGTAACTCGCCCAGCAACCAGCAGCAGATAGCGAAGGTAGATTTAAAATCACCGTTTCATGCCCTTCAAGGCAGTATCCATCTCATATCGAAAGGCCACTTCGACTAAATTTCCTTTCCTTGTGAGTAAAACCTATTTTTAAATTTCAACTGGTAACTGCAACATCACACATGTTCCCAACATATTCTACAATTTCGCCATTTTTGAGATGATTGTCGGCGAACGCAAGTACTAACGCAAAGCCTCCTCTACCTGGACATAAAATCCCTTCAAAATGTTTAAAAAATCTCCAGTTACGGAATGAATTATAACTACAGAAAAATTAGGTTTTTGCGCTTTTCAGAAGTATTAGTACGACAATTTCATTATTTGCACAAAGGTATGACAATCACCGTGGGCTTATAAAACGTTATTTTTGACGATTCAGAACTAGAGGCATTCTACGAAGACGTGGAGCAGGACGTCGGCAACGATAAGTTCTTCCACAAGTTCGTTGTGGAAGACTTCAACGCGAAGATCGGGTTGCCACTGGAAGAGGAATAGGATTGGGAAGTTGGATATGGGCTCCGAAACGAAAACGGCAACCGTCTCGTTGTGCTACTCTCCGCCGGACTTTTCCACGGAAATTTCATCTACATGAAAGAACATCGCCGGTGGACTTGGAAACCGCACAACGGAACGACTTACGCCGAGGTCCACCACATTCTCACCAATCGAAGGGTAGAGCTTGTACGATGTCTCAGTAGCTCCATCCTTCTGCAATGTCTCCGATCACCGTCTTCTTCGAGCGAAGGTACGATTCAGTCGAAAGCTGGGAAAGAAGGTCTGCCACAGTGTCACAAGAAGGAAAGAAGTCGTTTATGACAGTAACAAGTCAGAAGAAATCATATCAAATTGTGAATGGCCCATCGAGGAGGACCCAGCGTACAGCTACGACCGGCTTCTGAAAGGATTGCGAGCCTGAGGAGAGTGCACCTCAGTGACTTCTAAGAACTTGGAACGCATTTCGAATACCACCAAGGAATTGCTCGAAAGAAGAAGATTTCTGAGGCAGGATCCGAATGCAATGCCATTGCAGAACAGCTTTGCGAGAGTATCTCAGGAGGTACAGGCAAGCCAAGATACTGGAAGCAGCCGAAGAAAGACGAAGTCTCAGGATGTCGAAGGGACTTCTGCGAATATCATATACCGCTGGCTGCACTACTGAACGAAGACGGCCCCCCTGAGTTCTTCCCGATATAAGATGGAATCTATCGCAAAGAAGTTTTACACTCACCTCTTCCGCTCATCAACACCCGTGCAGATACCCGTTGTTCCCACTGGAAAAGTACCACCGAGGATTCTACCTGCTGAAATGCGTATCGCGATATAGACCATGGAGACGTTTACGCCTCCAGGGCCAGATCATCTGTCCGTCGAAGTCGTGAGAGCCGGAGAACAACGTCTACACGAGATTTTCGCGTCGTTCTGACATCTTGTTTTCAGAAGGAGAGGATTCCCGACAAGTAGAAAACATTAACAACCGTCCTTCTCTCCAAGAAGGGTGAACGGGAGGATCTTCGGAACTATCGTCCAATATGCCTGCTGAGTGTGCTGACAAGCTTCTCACGAAGATTATCCTCGCTCGCATATCTAGGACACTGGATGAAGCGCAACCCCAAGAGCAAGCTGGATTTCGCAAAGGATGCAGTGGCATGGACCACATCCAGACGGTTTCGAGAGTCATAGAAGTCTGTCGGGAATACCGACTGCCTCTCGTCCTAGCTTTCGTCGACTACGAGAAAGCCTTCGATAG